TCAGGTCTCATTATCAATTATTCAGTTTCTCTTCTGAAGGGTCTAGGCCCGAAACGTCAGCCTTCCTGCTCCTATGATGCTGCTTGGCCTGCTGTGTTCATCCAGCTCTGCACCTTGTTGTCTCTCTTCTGCCCTTGTCTATTATCAATCTCCTCGCTTGCTTACCCCTTTCATATCTCTCTCTCTCTCTGGGCTCCGTCTCCACCTATTCCCTCACTTCTCCCTCCACCCCCAAAACTCACCCTCGTTTTCAGCGCAGATACCACTTTCTTTGAGTGGCTGTCAGTTCTGATGAGTCCCTAGACTCTAACGTTAACTCTGTTACTACCTGCAGAAATTTCCTTTCAGTGTTAATTGGTACAGATTTTGCTGCTGCTCTTCAAGGGACATTCTAGCTCCAGCAGTGGATTGTGTGTGTGTGTGTGTGTGTGTGTGTGTGTGTGTGTGTGTGTGTGACACAGCAAGCTTTGTTGCAGGTAGCAGCCAAGCTTAAACACAGAAAAATGAGCATTTTTTGGCATGATTTACCATTGACAGATTCATTCTGACTGTAAGCTAGTCAATGTTTCAAGTCGATGACTTTTTGTTCAGAGTCTGATGAAAGGTCATCAACTTGGAACGTTAACCCTGTTCCCTGGTACATTACAAAGGCAGGTAGTATCACAGTCTTGGATATAACGCGCCTATTTAACCTTTAGTTGAGCTCATTCAATAACATTCATATGGAATAAAATTAACGTCCAAAGGTTTACAGTTTGAGTAAATGGAATAAGATTATACCTTGGATTAGATGCAATAAAGTCTGAAACGGGGTTGTTTAAGATCAGTTTACATAAGAATTTAATCCATTGACTTATTCATGGCTCCAAACATCTCCATGGTTACACTATGGTTAAAATGAACAGGACAGTTGTATCAAACACAAATCTAAAGCGTGGTTCAATTTTCAGCTTACTTTGAATTTTCTGTTTGGACAGTTATGGTTCCACGCATTCTACAATGTTTGTGACACTGATCATCATTTAGGTTTATTTTGATAGGCAAACTCTAAACCCCCATGAGAAAAATGTAGCACAGTTTGCAAATGATCAACAGCTACTTAACTGTTCAATTCAGCGTCTTTGTCCAATCTACCTGTTTGCACTAATGCGAACTTTTAGCTTTGCTGTAGTTTTGCCTGAGGTGATTTTTATTGAGAATTTGGATAGTCTGATGTGAATATTTTTGTATTTGTGTTATGCCCAGTGTGTAGTAGCTGCACGACAGTCTTGCAAACTTCGTCTGGAGTTCAGCTTGCTGTTTGTGTGTGTGTATATAGTGAGCAGGGGAAATAGCAGTATTGGTTTTTATTCAAAGTTCGGTATTATTACTGCAGCTTCTAAATGGTGGATATAAAAATGTTATTTGCTTGTTACTTGCGAAAACAGTAATGTGACAAATGCATTTCGGATGTGAAGAAAAGATTTTGAAGCATGTTCCTGATTACTGAGGAGTCCAGAACCTGGGGTCACAGTCTTAGGGTATGGGGTAGGCCATTTAGGCCTGAGGTGAGGAGAAATTTCTTTACCAAGAGAGAGTTGAACCGTTGGAATTTTGTGCCAAAGAAAGTGGTTGAAGCCAAAGTCATTTGTTTTTAAGAGGGAGTTAGATATAGCTCTTAGAGCTAAAGGGATCAAAGGGTATGGGGAGAAAGCGGAACAGGGCGCTGAGTTAGGTGATCAGTCATGATAATATTGAATGGCAGAGCAGCCTCAAAGGGCCGAGTCCTGCTCCTGTTTTTGTGTTTCTATATCTTAGCACCAGTCAAGGTCCCAGTAAAACAATTGGGAGCAGATTGAAATGATATTATTAACGTGTAGGCCTTGCTGCACTCTAAGTTCTGTGCCCACAGTTAAGTGCCAGGTTCAAAAGTACACTGCCAATGTGATTGTGTGTGTGTGGATGAGTGATGATGTATGTATTACAAAGAATATATATTAACAAATGGAATGTGACATTGAAAATAAGTCAACAGAAATAAAGTGACAGTTGTCAGACACAGTGTACACTATGCTATACATTGATGGATTTGCTTACAATAAATCTAATATCTCAGACTGGACTGTGAAAAATTGTGTGTGTATTTTATCCATGGAGTATCACTGTACTTCCAGACAATAACACTTATTAAGAACGCCTCAGTGGTCACTATTGCCATGAGAGTCTCAGTTCAGAATGCATGTAAGATCTTGAATTCCTAGACCATGAATACAGAAATCACTGACCAGCAGAAGTGTCCTTACTGCATTAGCCTTCCCCCACATTAAAAACACAACTTTTGACCAGCTAGTTAGAGCTCCAAGTTCAGTGCTATATCATCTTGTTAAATTGATGTTGTTAAACCTGCTTGCAATCAGATAAAGAAAACCCTTTGAAACATTTGTGTGGCGTAATTATTACTGGTTATAGCCCACCTGCACCTTATGTGCCACAAGGCACATCCTAAGAGAGTCAATGGTTATATGATACAATGGGAAGCTCTTAAGAACATCTGGACCATCTGAGAATTGTTACTTCTCCATATCTTAACACATTCATCAAATACTCTGAACAAAGTCATTTGTGTCATTAGCTCCAATGCTTCCCATACTCATGAGAAATGTTTACCATTTCTGGAACTTTAATTCAACAAGAGCTGCAAGCTAAGGTCTGTAGGCCAAGTTGATATCACTGGTAATCAAGGATTATTCTAATCCCCCCTTAGCCAAAGCAATCGTTGGAAAAGAGGTCACAGTGGCAACTAAAAAGCCATCAAGCTGATAAAGCCCAATTGATGTAAGATGCCGCAGGCCTCATTGGGGCTTTGAAGATCTGTATCTCTCTCTTATTTCTGGGAGGAAACTTTTTATTTTCTTTTTTAGAAATGTCTTATTTATCTGCCATGGGCTATTCATGATTGGGTGTGCAGATGGAAGCTGAGCAATATACCTTCAGGCCCTCTACTTCTATTGCTGTGGAAATTCAATAGTCTTTTATTTAAACCTGGATCCCTTCATCATGCTACCCAGTTCCTTGGATGAAAGATTTGAATTAACTAAATGAGGTATTCATTATCCCTGAGAGTTACTTACTGTACCAAGATAAAGAGTTCACTGCCTTTTCTATTAACTGGAAGCATGACGTTTCATGCTATAGTCTGTTTAATTTGAGGTGCTGGAAAGTTGCAACGTTTTGGAAAACTATAGAGTTAAGTGAAGAATGAATACAGCTTCTGAAAATTGATGGCAATAGGAACTGTTTTATTTTAACAGCTAAGTTAATGGCTGTGTTTCTGTGAATGATGCAAGTGTTAGTTAAAACACTACAATCGTGCAAGAGGCGCAGAATTGTATTAACAGATATTATACTTTAACATTTCTGAATTATTTAGTGCTTCAAAGATTTGAATGTAATTTAGGTTGTCTATTTCCTGATGTACCACTCTTTCAGCCATGGACATGGGTTAATGTTTTATTTGTGAAATTTACAAATAGATCTGTTAAAGGGAGGCACTGAGGTAGAATTTCATCAGTGTTATGTTGATTTTACCAGTGCCATAGGTCCAGAATTGGCCAAAGCTGTTAAAAAGATCGAGGCATTTCAAACACTTGCTCTGAGAATGAGTTTTGTGACCTTCTGCACTGTTTCTAAAAAGCACTGGGGCTGGAGGCCAGTCACACCACCAGAATGAATTAAAGAGCACGATTGATCTCTAGCCATTACAGCTGTTTGACAAACTCTGCAAGTTAAGCTGATTTTTAAAAAATTTACAAAGGCATCCAGAGACACACTTTAACAGTTTTATTTAATTTATTAAAAATGTAATTTGCTAAAATGTGTACGGCAATAAAATTATTAAATTATTTCATCAAATATTTCAAAGTAATTAAATATTTACTATTAAGGCACCTAATGGATGTTAGTCTCAAATTCTCAGAAAAAGTGCCTTTTTATTGAGAAACCCATTTTAAGATTTGCATAAAATTGCACCAGTTAACCACTGTTAAGTATTTTTATACAACAGAGGGAGAGATACAATTACAAAATAAAAACCAAAAGAGCTGCGGATGCTGTAAATCAGGAACAAAAACAAAGTTGCTGGCAAAGCTCAGCGGGTCTGGCAGCATCTGTGAAGGAGAAAACATTTTCTGATGAAGGGTCTCGGCCCGAAACGTCAGCCTTCCTGCTCCTATGATGCTGCTTGGCCTGCTGTGTTCATCCAGCTCTACACCTTGTTATCTCAGATTCTCCAGCATCTGCAGTTCCTACTATCTCTGATACAGAGTTAACATTATCTCTGTTTTCCCCTTCACAGATGCTGCCAGAGATACAATTACGTTCTGAAATGCCTCCCAGTTATGTTTGTGATACTCGAATGAGTTTGAGTAGATATTGAAACATGATTTCATTTTGGGAAACCTTTGTAATTTGTATCCAGATTGTTGATTGAATAATCAAAGCAGAAGTTTGATCCCATTAGATAACGTTGAATGGAAGGCTGTCTATAATGGTGTACTGTATTCCACAATTTATGACACTACAGAGAGGCATTTATGTCCACATTGAGATTGCTGCCATGAATCCCCACCCTAATTATTTTGGAAGTGGCAATTCAGGGTGGAGAAAAGAAGCAAGCAAGTTGCAGAGCAAGTTCTCTTTAGGGTGGCACTTTTAATTTTAAAGTTATCTTCTCAGTTCGTGTTTGAAAGCTAAGAGATGCAAATGAGTAAAAGAGGAGTTTTTAACCGTTTGTTTATTGAGCATGAGTCTTGATATCTGGAGAAGGACCTTTTGATTCTTGTCCTCATTTATAAATAGTACAACATCTTCTTGAAGATTTCCTGAAAGTTTTTTTTTAATGAGGAATCCGTACAGTCTGGTTTGCAGACAAAGTACTTTTGAAATATAGCTCTGACATACAGAACAAAATGGTAAGACAAATATATTCTTAATTCACCATCTGTTTGACATTTCTTTTCCAGTGCTGCCGACTTGCTCCCCTCTGGAATTCCATTGTGACAATGGCAAATGCATTCGGCGTTCCTGGGTCTGTGATGGTGACAATGACTGCGGGGATGATTCCGATGAGCAGGATTGTCGTAAGTGTGCATTCGTTATGGCCTTTTGTCAACCTAAGGTTGTGAGTTTATTGTTGGATGTTATTTGTTCCATTTCTTCTGCTCATTTATTCACAAACAGGGGTGAATCTCTGTGAGTTGCTAATGTCTTCGTAATGCTCTTGAGGTCAAATTAGCATTGGGGTTTGAATTTTCTGGATCGGGCTGGCCCAGACGGCAGTGTTCTCGTCCACAAGTCACACAATTTTGGATCGAAAGCCATAACAATAATGTAACCAGTGCTGAAAAGAACAGCATATTACCATAACCTTTGGTCTTGCACTCATCAGGACAAATGCAAAACTGCAAAATTTCCAACAATCACAACAGTTTACACAATGGGAGTACAGGGAAATCAATTTTGATTGGCTGACACTTTGTCACAGGGGAAGCACCATTGGCTTCTGGGTAATTTGAGAAAAGGCATGAGGCCTCCACACGTCCCTTTCGATGCAATGTGTTCAGCCATGTGAATGACTGCATGTTGCTTCCAGCAGCATTGTGCACATATGTGATTATTGTTACAATAACAACTGATTTACAATCAGGATTGTTCAGCTAAAGCTGCAAAATTGCCGAATCACATTTTGCCTGAATTTCTGCACGGGCTGGTTAAATAAAGGCTGGACTCTGCTTATTGTGAACAGCTGGGCAAACATGATGTTTGGATTGTACAGTTGATTTATTGAGGCATTGCAGTGACATTGAGATTCACCCAGGACGTTGCTCAGTTGTGGACGGTTCCACTGCCATGCCACTGATGCCATGATATCACAGTGTGAAGTGGCTTGCTTAACCTCATCAATTTTTTCAGGTATTTTGCCTTTCCAGGGTAATTTGAGATAGATCAGTCACATCTCAGGTCCAGAACTGGTAGTCTCTGACCAATTTGTATGAGTCATGGTGAATAGTGATCTGATCTGGATAGCCACTGTCCCAATGAATAATTGATGCGTTCTATTTCTGTGTCAAGCTTACAAGGTGAGCAAATGGCTGATGTATAAGATTGCTAATAAAGCCAGTTTTAGCATGTGGAGCTATTTGAATTCCAGGGTATATATTGACCAGTGTTGGTAGACTTGGGGAAGACAATACGAGAGAATCTGCTCACAGATCTCTCAGCCAGCATGTTGAGGAAGTAGTGCAGTTAGACTGCTCCATTGCAAAAGTGCCTTGCTGTGGAATGGAATGTATGTAGACGTGTGGGGAAACCGTAATCCTTGCTGCAGATTCTGAGATCATGAACGTATCATCTACATATTTCAAATTTGCAAATCTGCATGTGGTAGGAGGTTGGGGCTTATTCCATTAAAAACACATTTCTTATGGAAAATGTCAGTAAGTGGAGGAGATCTCATGGCTCTCCCGTTTATTTTGGGTGTACGTAGTGTCGTTAAAACTGAGTGTGACTGGCGAGTCGCTTCATTTACAGGTTTAACAAATAAAAGTTTCAGACGATGATGGCACATTGATATTGGTATGAGATTGTGACATGATGCAACTTTCAATGGTTTCCTTGAACAGCACATTCAAGAATACACCCCCAGTATGGTATAAGCATATGGGCAAGGCATTGCTATCAAGAAGTAGGCCAAGAATAAGATTGTGAGGGGCATGGACTGATTCGTCAATTCATTGCTGTTTGCAAAATCTTCCTGTGTTCCAATGGTTGTCATGTTTGCTTATATTGCAAGTGACCAAACTTAAGTATGAAATTATTTTGATGTGTTTCTGATGGATGTGCATGAAGAGAATCCTACTAAAGCACCAGAGGATGAAGGAGATGGGGGAGTGACTGGAAGACAAATCAGATCATTTACCAGGAAAAGCTAGAAGAATATCCAGGATTAAAGAATTTTGAAGAGTCAAAGTTAGAAATTAGTACGAGTTTGAATAAAGACTGGCAATCCTACCGGGTTATTAATTGATGCGGGTAATCACTGACCGTTGAGCATCAAATTGTTCCTGCCTTTATTACCCTCTATTGTGGGTCAAGTCCTACTCCAAAACTTTAGCTTCTAGTGTCTTTTTTTATTAACTTATGGGACGTGGTCGTTGCTGCCTGTTCCAGCATTTATTGCCCATGGCTGTGGCCACACTGCACAATGTTAGTTCTAAGATAATCTACCATGTGGCAGAGTCGTAATGCAGTATGTTAGTGATCCACCACAATGCACCATAAAGCAAGGGCTTACACTCACTTGGTAAATTACCAATTGTGGTAATCTCGGATAACATTGGGTTGAGTTCAAACATTGCCCACAAAGCAGAGATCCAAGTGCAAATCCTGTGTGCTTCCTTGTGGTTAAGAGGATCATGGTAATTCCTTGGGAGCAGGTAGCCTGCCAATCCCATTGAGCAAGGGATGGCTTGTTGCTCAAGGGGAGTGTAGAGGAAAATTTAAAACAAAGCAAAAGAAATTGAAAATCAGAGGCTTTGTATTTCACCAGACACATGCACATTCTCACACGCACACTCTCACATGCACACGCACACTCTAACACGCTCTCTCTCTCACACACTGTCTCTCTCACACTCGCTGTGTCTCACACTCGCTGTGTCTCACACTCACTGTCTCTCACACTCGCTCTCTCTCACACTGACACAAAAGCACAGCTGCAAAGACCAATTTCCTACTTAAATGAAAACACTGGGAGAGAACGTGCTTCCATTTTCATTGGCTTCACCCTCCCATATCTACCAGGGCAGCCTCTGACTGCTTTCCCTCTGGAAATCCAACGATTGGTTCTCAAGTCTGACACCCCACCCTATGCTTTGGCCATGAATCAGACAATTTGGGGAAACTCACAAGAAATGACTGTATCCCTCAAAGTGTGGGTTTCTGACAGTCAGAGATTGTAAACCTGCTGACGTTCAGTTGAGCAAATGGTTGACTAAACACATGCAGCCTTATTCTTATGTTTATGCTTGGTCTTGGGCTGATCTGAGTTCAGTTTGTTATTACCCTGCTGTGTACTGCACATAAATTAATGTGTGTGTACGCTATTGATATTCACAGGAGAAAGAAATTTCAGGTGTTGTACAAAGTGCGAGTAGTTTTATTATCTTTGCAGCAGACAATTTCTTGGTTTAATTTGAAGACAAATGTTTCCCAGTGGAAAAAAAAAGCATATTCTTTTGTTTTGTTCCTTTACATCTCTTGTAATGTTTTCCACCTCCTTTTCTTTCCCAACCATTATCAGTTTTTCTTCCTGATGGGTGAGACTATGGCAAACCTGGTTGGTTTTCAGGTCTGCAAAAGCTTGTAGCCACATCTATGTTGCTATTTTGTGGTATGGTCAAATATTTCACAACAGTGAGTCGTGCATCTAAATCACAGGCAATGCTGAGGCTGTGGTATGTGGAATAGAGGCAGGCACTCTGTAATCCATTTTTGCCCCTTCCGCTTCTCCCTCCTTCAATGATCTTCCCTGCACACAAAACAGATTATCGGAAAGGAGATTGAAAAGAATAGCAAAACACCTTCAATTTCCACTGATATGGATAACAGAACAGCATCTGGTATTAACATTGCTGCCTCTTAAAAAAAAAAATCTCAAAGAGACTTTTTTTTTAGATATTGAATGCTTCTTTATAGCTCTCATGCAATTGTATGAAGCATTGGAATTTTTATTTCATGTACATTTCTTGCTCAAATTTAAAGTAATAATGAGGGAAATGCTCTGAACTGCACAGCCCCCTCAATCCACAAAATACATCGAACGTGTGAATAAGGAGAATGAACAGGCTATTTGGCCCCTCAAGCGCAAGTCAGTCATAAAGTCATACAGCCCAGAAACAGACCCTTCAGTGCAACTAGTAGATGCCAACAATAATCCCAAACTTAACTAGCCACATCTGCCTGCACTTGGCCCATATCCCTCCAATATTTCTTATTCATATCTTTATCAAAATATCTTTTAAACATTGCAACTGTATTCGCATCCATCGCTTCATCTGGAAGTTCATTCCACATATGAACCACTCTCAGTATAAAAAAAATTCCCCCTCATGTCTTTTTTAAATCTTTCTCCTCTCTCACCTTAAAAATATGTCCCCTAGTCTTGAAATCCACCCCTCCCACCCCAGGGAAAAGGCACCTACCGTTCACCTTATCTATACCCCTCATGATTTTACAAACCTCTATAAGGTCATCCCTCAGCCTTCTATGCTGCAGTGTTAAAATTCCCAGCCTATCCAGCCTGTCCTTATAACTCACTGTCCATTCCCAGCAACATCCTGGTAAATCTCTTCTGAACCCTCTCCTGCTTGATAATATCCTTCCTATAAAAGGGCGACCAGAACTACACACAGTACTCAAGAAGGGGCCTCACCAACATCCTGTGCAATCCCAACATAGCCCCTTGCTCTGCCACTTAGAAAGGTCAAGTTCTGATAAATCCTGATTGAACCCCTAAGTCCATATTCTGACCTTCTCCCGAAATCAGACAAGCAAACAATTTGTGCTTATATTTTCACTTCAGAAATACAAATACTACCAAACTTGCTTCTTGCTGAAAGAAGACACTTTATTTTTGAAACTTTTTGTCAGCGCTCATCAGGACAATTCACAGAAATACCAAAATCAAGGGAAAACTACATTCATACCATATGAGAGGAGAATGCTAATGGTTATTAAGTGGACGCTAATTGGTAGAGGCACGATAATGAAGAATGCAGCAGTTAGATGATGACTGACAGTTAACTGCCAAGCTTAGTCAAGACGAAGAGCTTTGACAATTTTTTTCAGTGATATTCGATAAATGTACTGTAGACCTATCAATAGTATAAACAGATGAATAAGGAACAACAGGAGGTCACTTGCCACCCCCCGACCAAGTCTTCCCATCATAAGATCATGATTGATCTGTTTACTTCCAGTTCCCACCTACCCTGAAAACCTTCTAGGCCCTTTCTTATAAATAGTGTACCTCTGTTATAAAGATAAATGCTCCGCTTTTGAGGAAAATGGTTCCAAAGAT